TCATCATCATCATCATCATCATCATCATCATCATCGACAGCATGACATCAGTGTTCAACACTGATGCTTCACTGCCGTACAACCATGATTTATTTGAAAGCCTTATTGTAAACAAAAGAGTAAAGGTGGAGGGGGAACGGACTTAGTGCTGGCTTACCACACTAAGTCCAATCCCCGTCCACCTTTACTCTCTTACAATTATTTACCACATGAAACCTACAGAATTAGAGGGGAAAATAAACTCGAATTTAAGGAAACTTCCTGCAAGATAAATCCTCAGATGAATAGGAATTCGATGCGTTCATTTACTCACAGGGACGACAGGTGATCTTCGAGCATCTTCTCCATTTATATTATCGTCTCCGCGTGCGGGGCAGAAAGGTGATGGACTAGGGATGAGAAACATAAACGATTCATGTTGAGTCAGCCACCTTGGGTAACCCAAACACTAACAAAAAACTAGTCATTAGTAACTCGAAGAATAAATTCGGAGTTGACAAGGCCCATCTCTATTGATACTAATCAAACACCTGAAAACCTGTCGTTCCCCAAATAATCGGAGCCTACGATTACGTACCATACTTTTGAGATAGATAAAAAGCTAACTACTTTAACAAACTGGCCTCCGGATGTCACAGCTTTCTAGGAGAAGGCTGACAAAATCGAACAGAAGCTTGCCCATTATGTGCATAGCCACCGTGATCCATATGGCTCAGTGCTTGAAGCGCGGACTTAATGACTTGAGGGTTCATGATTCGAACCTGACTCTGGCATCTCGACTTCTTTTGTGTAGACTTGAGTAACCTGGACGAATCCTGGCACTCGCACTTCCTTTGGGTGGCATGGCAGCTAGACACTGAAAGAGTGCTACAACTCAACGAGTAATTTATCTTAGAGCTGCCAAGCACACGAGATGAGATATTATCAGGTCGTTCAAGTCTAGGCAAGAACGATCAGAAAGCAAGATTGGAATCGACCATAACCGCTGACTTATCTTCAGGCCATCAGGCAACTCGTATCTTTATCCCGGCATGTCTTCCTCGGGACACCAGTAGACGCCTGAAAAACTAAACTTCGAGGCATCCAACAACGTGGGAATCTTCTTGAGACCCCCTACTTCGAAGCAGAACACAGTGGGGAAATGTAGGGTCTGCTTCAGAACTCTGCCCACATCTTCTGAACCATTTCCGATCCGCAAGGTAGTTGAAGTTGAAGTTTTCACTGAACAGCTGTTCATGCCCAACGACGAAATTTGCCACTTTTAGCTGCAGGCACCCGGTGGCGAAGAAAATGGAGCAGAGATGCCTAGCTCATGGACTTCCTGACCTCAGCTTATGCGTTTGAAGCTACACTGGGGTTTTCGTAAGATTTTCTTATTTTTCGACTGCATTAGACCATGGTCGCGGGTAACCGTGGGGCGGTATCCAAGACCACTCCCTATTCCGGTGAACAAAACGACAAAAAACTAGTCATTAGTAACTCGAAGAATAAATTCGGAGTTGACAAGGACCATCTCTATTGATACTAATCAAACACCTGAAAACCTGTCGTTCCCCAAATAATCGGAGCCTACGATTACGTACCATACTTTTGAGATAGATAAAAAGCTAACTACTTTAACAAACTGGCCTCCGGATGTCACAGCTTTCTAGGAGAAGGCTGACAAAATCGAACAGAAGCTTGCCCATTATGTGCATAGCCACCGTGATCCATATGGCTCAGTGCTTGAAGCGCGGACTTAATGACTTGAGGGTTCATGATTCGAACCTGACTCTGGCATCTCGACTTCTTTTGTGTAGACTTGAGTAACCTGGACGAATCCTGGCACTCGCACTTCCTTTGGGTGGCATGGCAGCTAGACACTGAAAGAGTGCTACAACTCAACGAGTAATTTATCTTAGAGCTGCCAAGCACACGAGATGAGATATTATCAGGTCGTTCAAGTCTAGGCAAGAACGATCAGAAAGCAAGATTGGAATCGACCATAACCGCTGACTTATCTTCAGGCCATCAGGCAACTCGTATCTTTATCCCGGCATGTCTTCCTCGGGACACCAGTAGACGCCTGAAAAACTAAACTTCGAGGCATCCAACAACGTGGGAATCTTCTTGAGACCCCCTACTTCGAAGCAGAACACAGTGGGGAAATGTAGGGTCTGCTTCAGAACTCTGCCCACATCTTCTGAACCATTTCCGATCCGCAAGGTAGTTGAAGTTGAAGTTTTCACTGAACAGCTGTTCATGCCCAACGACGAAATTTGCCACTTTTAGCTGCAGGCACCCGGTGGCGAAGAAAATGGAGCAGAGATGCCTAGCTCATGGACTTCCTGACCTCAGCTTATGCGTTTGAAGCTACACTGGGGTTTTCGTAAGATTTTCTTATTTTTCGACTGCATTAGACCATGGTCGCGGGTAACCGTGGGGCGGTATCCAAGACCACTCCCTATTCCGGTGAACAAGCTCTGGGTCTGAGGAATATGAGGAATCCTACACTTGCAGATTCGACCTTTCTTTGGGAACCATCCGTTCAGCAAGCCGAAATTTCCCCAACTTGACAAAAATAAATTCGCCTGGAATGAGACCTGAGACACTTTCAATTTCTAACGTACGCCAGTCTCCAGATCATCATTGTGAAATTATTTACTCTTCGCAGACGATTTGGCAGCTTCGCGGGTTCATGGTCCGAAAATCCTGCGAATCATCATCGTCAGCTGTAATAACCGCGTACTTGTCGTACAGTGGTTGTAGCTGCTACAGTATCGTTGACCGATGATTCGGGGAGGTGGGGTATGTAGCTGCGCATTGGACGCGGGTGCTGATAAATTCGTGCGTAAATACAGCACTGTCAGTGGGCTGTTAAGCGGGGGGGTTGGGAAGGGGGCTATGCATTGAAGGCAATACCTTGGATACATGAGCGCCATTGAGGGCGGACTGGGCAATGTCTCTAGCCATTTATGTGGCCCGCCTCGGGATCCCCACTCAGGAAGACGGTAGTGACCAGCGCAACTGAGTTTGATAATACTCGATTACATACTTCGCTGCCAAGTCATTGTTTGACTTCACTCGGCTCGTTTCCACCCTTCGCATGGTTCTGCAAAGAGAATTCGAGGAAGTCGATCGATTGGCATACGGAGCACGTGGCCAAGCCAGCGCAAGCTTTGGAGAGTAATCAGTTCATCTATCGTGGGCGAGTTACTTCTTGCGAAAACTATTCGACGAACTTCAGCATTACTGATCCGGTGATCCCACCAGACTCAGACAATGTTCCGAAGACGTCGATGATCAAACACCGAAAGTCTTGATGTCCTCAGCGTTGATGGGCCAGGTATCTAATCCGTATGGTAAAATGGAGCTCACCCCAGCATTGTAAACTCCACCCTTGACGGATAAGCCTACGCCACAAGTAACACAGGCTCACAAAAGCTGCTCTGGCCTTACCAGTCCGGATGGAAGTACCATCTTTCGTGAGACAACCGGGAGTGATACAGCTGCCAAGGTAGACAAACTTGTCTACTACCTTAACCGGTTCATCCGCATGCATGAGGTTAGGTTCCGAGCACACCCGATCTAGAAGTAGCACTTTACACTGCAGGTGTGAAGCGCATGCCAAACAGTGAGGCGAAATTATTTAGACTGTTCAAAATTGTTCTGCATTACCACGGGGTCAGATCCAAGAAGAGCTATGTCATCTGCGCACTCGATATCTGTGAGCGGACGCCCAGGGAGCACTTCGACCCCACAGGCATTAGGAGCTGATAGTGAGTCTCCCACGATCGTATCAATCACGAAGTTGGAGAGGAAAAGTGAAAGAGCACAGCCCTGTCGGAAATCGCTTGATGTGGTAAACTCAGGCGGGAGCTTCCGTAGACCTCTACACGGCCGCGGGAGTTGGCGTACAGCGCCTTAAGGACGGTCAAGAATTTATAAGAAAAACCCTTGCTGCATAGACACTTCCATAGAGCCTGACGGTAAAGAGTCAAAGGCAGCTCTCCGATCAAGAGGCACAACCATTGTTGGTTGCTGTTCCAGAATCTGTCAGAGGGTGAAGATATAATCAATGCAACCTTTTGCAGGACGGAACCCAGCTTGATTTTCACGGATCTGTCTTTCCCTGTGTTCACTCAACTTTCGAAGGATAAGGCCAGAGAGCACCTTCGGCGCCACAGCTGACAAGCTGACGCCACGATGTTTTCCACATAACCCTTATGGAGATGAGAATAACAGTCGACACGTCCCATTCTGCAGGCACCTTCTCTTCGTTCTATATGGCACCAATAAGCATTGTCAGATGGGTCAACAGGGATTCTCTGCCTTCTTTGAAGAGGACTGGATACAGATCGTCCTGTCCTGGTGCCTTCTGACGTTTCAGTGCGGCTACTTCGTACCTTATTTCTTCTTCCGAAGGGCGATCAAGGTTCACATTCCATTCGGCCGTATGCATTACCTCCACAGGGTGCGTTGCAGGAGGCCAGCTGAACCGTTCTTCGAAGTGTTCGGCCCGTTTTTCAGTCGACATTTTTGCGAGTGAATTAATGAGCCATCTTTTTTTCTTGTCATTTTGCCGACCGTTGCTTTCCTAGGGCCAGTCGATCGTATCAGTTGACATCGGGCACGGCTGTTTCCCGTAGCAAAGGTCCTCTCCATCTCTTGAGCTTTCGATGTCCTCCAGAGCTCTCGGTCTCTCCTTAGACTCTTCACTATTTTGCGTTTGAGATAATTGCGTGCACCATCGAACTCGTTGCCTGCTGGTATAGCTGTCCTGGCATCAGTCATGGACAGCGATCTCGATGACATCCAGTGGTCTTGTGGTCAAACTGGAGAAGTCGGACAGGCAGCACTGAACGCCGCCAACATAGCTCCTGTCATATTTTGCCACATGTTCACTGCCACCACAGTACTGCTTTACTATGGAGAGTTGTTGGGTTAGCTCAGATCGATACTGTTGAGCTATGGTAGTTCTTCAAAGAGAGTGGATTGGCATGCTTCTTGCTGACTTGCGAGGGCCTGAAGGGGAGAGGACCTGAATGAAAACGAACTGTCAGGCGCGCACGCACCATGTCGTGATCGGAATCAAGTGTTGTGCACCAGAAGGAATGGCAGTCTTGAATTGATGGCCACGTAGTCCAACTGGGTCCACGGTTGATTCCCAGTTGGTGACCGCCAGGTTACGCGATGCGAACGTTTGTCAGATAAGCATACAACTGGAGGAGTCATTCTCCGTTGTCTTTGCGGCAATCATCGACTCCGAATCGACCGCTCAAATGTGATTCCAAGGAGCTCAGACAACCTACTTGAGCACTCAAATCGCCTGCGAGGATCACCATGTCAGTGCTTTTAGGCTGACGAATAAGCCCAGTTAGCTCTCGATAGAAATTATCCATTTCGGCATCAGAACTGCAGTCCTTTGGGGCATAAGCCGACATAACAAACAGGCACCGATTTGTATGCCGAGGCATTGAGCTTGATTGAGCTGGATAAACGGATGGCGCAAAGACGACTGCTCACTGCGACCGAATCCACCAAAGCATGTTCAGCTCCGGGGCTGAGTGCAACGTCCACGTCATATATTCCACGAGTCATCGATTATGGGTCACCGGATACACCGAGAGAGAAATGTGAAATAGCTCAGTTCATCCTGGGCGTTCTGAGATGCATAACCACGCTTGGATCCTATATATGTGTTTCGAAGACACAGCACAAATAAATTTTAAGGGAAGCTAAAGTTTCAGAAAGCATTTCCTGTTTGCAAATTTGAAATATGGTACGGAGATTAAAGGCTCCTATGTAGAAGGATCTAGTGGATTTGGAAGTGTTATTTTGTTTATTGTTAATAAGCAGCGAGGAGCATAAGGCCCTTCGGTCAGATAGCTGACAGTAAAGTGACCCAGCGACTTTTGCTTGTGTGGTGGGAGGGATTGAGGAGGGACATCAGTGGACACGGAACTGCAAATGATAGTTCCCGGTTGCCCAGACCAAGGTAGAGGGCTTGGTTGAGGTATCCCACCTTGAGCCTTTGACTCAATAGTTTGACGTGCTCGGCCGCAGGGAGTCCGCTTAACCCGAAGTCGCATGGAATAAGGCATTACTATCTCATTCATGATGCGGCTGTGCACAGCAGGTGCTTTTTGGGCAACACCGGATACTTTGGTTTCAAAACTATTTCGACCGCATTGAATAGTGCGCCGGCGGTTACGGTCAACCGTTGAGCGATCGGAGTATGCAGTTTTTAGGGCCGACCTTTTCTAACCCGTCCTTCCGCGGGAGAAGACAGCATTGCTGCTTCCATAAATATGGACATGTTGGTCGCCTGGCGGAAACACCTTAGCCTTCCCACTCCTATCGCAGAGGACAGTACGACTTTGTCCGCAGACCACCTCGTAGCACAATTACTCGTAGCACGGGGTCTCGCTGCTCTTGGTCTGGCTGTCCTCCTTTGGCCTCCCTGGCATGGTTGCACCTTGTGGAACGATGTTCCAGCCAGTATATCCCGCGGGATCACTGCAGCACTCAAGCTCAACTACCACGTCAAGGTGGCAGCTTCGGGTCGGTTTCTAAGCCAGTCGTTCATCCCTCACGAAACCGTGAAATACGAACATAGAAGTGAGACTCCAAAACGAAGGGCAGTCTACTATTGATCAGTAACTGATGGTCATGTGATCAGTTTGGGCTAGTGACTGGCACGCTGTTGGGGAACTCCATGTAGCTAGACGACTTCGGCTATTTCGGAATTTGGTGCTGCACAAAAACAGTCCTCTATCAGCACACAGCTAAAAGTTGTTCACCGCAGTCTGTACTGAAACGAGTCTAATTCAAGTTGATCACCAAATTGAGTCATCCAGACTGTGTATTCAAATTTCTGGCAACCACAACGACATTTAAAGTTTCTGTCCACTGTAACAGGACAGTGGCGTCCCAAGAGCTGTCTTTGAAAGCACCAAGGGTACCGTCGGTTGGGACGCAAGCAGACATGATAGGCGGACAACGATCAGCTGCCCGCTTATGAGACTCCTTAACGGAAGTTGCCAGAATAAACTCACAGGTGCCACTATCAGCGGGTACCCAGACCAGCAAAGATCTTTCTGCTAGGTGATTGAGGACAATGTCGAACCCTGTGCATTCCCCACAGCAGCCTGTGGATCGCCAGGGTTACGCTACCGGAAACGAGTGGAGATTGATGGGACTGTTAGCTCAATGACCGTGCTTGGAGCTTGAAGTCTTGTAACAGTGTCCCTAATGAAGTAATCAGTTGGTGTAGGGCAGCAGGTAATTGATGTGAGCCCTGTCACCACATTGACCTATGTCCAGTCACTGAAATCGGCCTCGGCACCACTGT